TCTTCTGTGTCTGTGTTAATTGGTTTCCCTTTTCTTTGTTGAAGAGGGTCTGTGCAATCCTTCTGCCTAGTCCGCCATCTTCGGCTTTCCCCCTCTTGATGGCTGTGGGTTTGTTTTATTTTCCCCTTCCTCAACTAAATTGCCCCTTCTAGGTCTGAAGCTCCCACTTTGTGAAACTGTAAACAACAACAATAAAGCAATTCAGCAGAACATATGTTCTCAAAGGATTCTTTTTAACTGTGTACATTAGATTAGAATACATTTTTAAAAAAACATTAATCTGTGCACGTGTCAGAATCACAGGCTGATATAGCTGGAAGGATCATAGATATTACTTAGGAACTTAGCTGACAAGTTAGGGAATGATAAGAACCTACTTCTTAAATGAATGTAAACCTACTTCTTAATTAGTCATGTTTTTCCTTATTTTGACAACTTTATCTACCAGGTGTGTTACTAGTTGATAAATCTTGGGAGATTAATATAAGTCTCTCTATGTCTCATTTTCTTCATCTGCAAAACAATGGTCATCATATATTCATTGCCTGATTATTATGAGAATTAAATTAGTTAATATTTACAATGAGTCTTAGACTAGTGCTTGGAACATTGTAAATGTTTGCTATAAGTGTTTGCCATTATTACTGTCTCACACTGTAATAGTATTTTTTGCTCATATATTTTTAGCTATGCAATGGTATTTCAATCAGTCTCTCACTATTATTACAGCTTCAATGGTACATTTTAACATGGTAACCTACTCCTTTTTGCCCTGTTGTTGTTAGGTGCCAAGAGTCGGTTCCAACTCATAGGGACCTTATGAACAACAGAATGAAACACTGCCTGGTCCTGCGCCATCCTCTCAATATTTGTTGTGTTTGAGCCCACTGTTTCAATCACTGTGTCAGTCCATCTTCTGCAGGACCTTCCTCTTTTTCATGGGTTGTTAATGAGTCTTCTTCCAATCCTGATGCTGCGTTCTTCATATAGCCCTACTTGGTATTTTAATTTTTAAGTCTTTGTCTTTTATTCTACTTATTAATTCTGCTCTTTAATTCTGCTCTTTTAGTTGTGTTTGCTTGATCTTTGTCCTTTATGTTTTGTTTAGCCTTTTATATATCACGTTGCTTTATTTGGGTAGTTTGTAAAAAACGTGCTTAAGTGATTTTTTTCTTTTAAACCAAACCTGAGCAAATTTGTCTTTGGTTAAGAGACTTGAATTTATTCACATTTACTGTTTTAAAAATTTGATCTTACTTTGGAGAGTTTTGTTTCATGACATTTTAAATTTCTTCCTGTTTCTGGTATTGTGTCTCTCCTTGATTGGCCTAGGTTTTTTTTTTTTTCTTTTTCCTCTTCTTACCTGGAAGATAAGAGCTCTGGTGGCATAGTACCTAAGGCA